CATATTTTCTCCTTTTTTTTTTTTTTTTTTGAAATTTTTAGGATTGTTACAAATGTTGTGGGTTCTTTAGACTTTCAGTTACATAATAAGCTAATTAGCATTAAACATAAGCTAATTGTATGAAAAAAGAAAAATAGATTCTAAGTTCAACGGAAGATAGATGAATTCCTATCTAAAATAGAATTGCTGGATTTTACTATCCAACATGGAGATTCTCTTTATGAGGACCAAAATACTGAAAGAGATAGTAAGATCAAGTCTCTCAATGAACTCTGTAGGATTGAGGAGTTATATTGGAGAAAAAGATCAAGAATCAAATGGCTAAAGGAGGGAGATAGAAACACAAAATTATTTAATGCCATTGCCAGCTCTAGAATAAGGTAGAATGATATCTTGGGGTTATCTATTCAAGGGGTTGATCAGAAAGATGGGTTGGCAATGGGGAATGAGGCAATAGCTCACTTTAAGAAAGCCTTTTCTTTTGAAGTTAGGTTTCACCCAAGCTAAACCAAGTGCCTTTCTTTTCACTTTCTCCTTCTGTCGTTGGGGAGTTTGAGAGGGATCTGACAATGGAGGAGCTTAAAAGTGCGGTTTGTGCATTCCTGGGGGATAAAGCCCCTAGACCGGACGGTTTCCCTTTGGTCTTCTTCCAAAAGTTTTGGAATTTAATCAAAGGGGAGCTTCTAGAGATGGTTAGAGGGTTTCTTCTTCAGGTGAGCTTTTCAAAGGGGTGAATTCGGCTTCTATCGCACTGATTCCCATGAAAAGCCTTATTGCTGATTTGTCTGACATTTGACCAATAAGCTTGCTTACAAGCCTCTACAAAAAAGTGGCAAAGGTTATTATTGAGAGACTGAAAGTGGTTTTGTCTCATATTATATATGGGACGCAATCTGCCTTTATTTAGGATAGGCTTATTATGGATAGTGCTTTGGTGACCCAGGAGTAGATTCACTCTAAATGCTTAAGTCAGACACGGGGGGTTGTCATCAAGCTTGATATGGAGAAGGCACATGTCAAAGTTGAATGGGGTGTTCTTTTAGAGATCATGAGAGTGATGAGTTTTGGGGAGAGATGCAATATTGGATCTCCGGTTGTTTGTCTTCAGCACACTTCTTAGTGCTATTTAAGGTAGTCCTATTGTTTTTTTAAAGCATTGAGGGGATTAAGATAAGGAGATCCTTTATCTCCTTTCCTGTTCACAAGAAATTTGCATTCTCCCTTATTTTTGGATAGAATAGACAAAAACCTTTTTTTTTATTTTGATATCTCCATAATCATAAACCTAATTTTTAGGAATTGGACAAAGAAAAAACCTGAATTTCAAACTTTCAACTGTAAAGAGGACACGAAAAAAGAGGATGAGATAGCAGAAACTTGGGAGACTATTGCATTTGGTCAAGTAATAAGAGGTTTTCTGTTAGTAACCCAATCTATTCTTAGAAAATACACTCTATATGCCGAGTGTTTTAGTTTGATGCTTAAGAATGTGGTTGATCGAGGTAACTTCTCTGGGTTTGAAATTGGTAGTAATGACCTCAATGTCTCGCATCTTCAATATGTTAGTGCCACTCTCATTTCTGTGGGGCAGAGGTGGAGCAGGTGCAGAATGTTGCTACTTTCTTGATGTGTTGTGAAGTTGTGATGGGTCTGAAGAAGGTCAATCTAGGGAAGACATCGATGATACGTATATAATGTGATGAGGAAGCCCTCTTGGATCTGGCAACTGTTTCTTAATTGTAGAACGGAATCATTCCCAATAACTTATTTAGGTCTGCCTATTTCGGATAGGAGTCTACCCAACTCGGTCTAAGATAAAGTGTTACAATGAGTTCAAGTAAAGCTAGACTTGTAGAAGTATAGGTACTTATCCTCGGGAGGTAGGGTTACCCTTCTACAGTCGTGCCTATCAAACCTTCCTATTTTCCAAATGTTCATTTTTCAAATCCCTGCAACTATAGTAAAGAAGTTAGAAAAGATGGTGCGTGACTTCCTGTGGGGCTTTGTTGAGAGGCTAGAAAGTATCATTTAGTTAAGTGGGATCATGTCTGTACACCTAAAAGTGAATGAGGGCTGGGCTTTCGTAAGTTAAAGTAGGTCAATCAAGATCTCTTATGTAAATAGTGGTTGCGTAGCTTCACTCTTAGGAACCATCTTTGGTTTAAAATTTTGGAGGCAAAATATGGGTTGGATAGTCAAGGGACGTGGATTGGAAGTGGAAAAGGTTCTAGTGCTTTTAATATTTGGAAAGCTATTTCCTTTTGCAGGCTTTTCATATTTAGAAGCCTTGAATGTTTAATCGGTAATGGGGAACATAGTTCTTTTTGACATCATATGTGGCTGGAGGAGTATCCGGTTAAGCTATCCAGTATTTCTTTTTGACATCATAGGTGGCTGGAGGAGTATCCGGTTAAGCTATCCAGAAGTTTTCTAGAGGGTAACAATTCAACATGCAAAAGTAGGGGATATATTCCAAGAAAGCGGTGATAATATTGTGTGGAATGTGACCTTATCTTATGACGTAAATAATGGGACCACCTATAGGTAGTTTTATCAATAAAATTTCCAAACATGGGTAAAAAAAAATAAAAAAAATATTGAAATCACATTTCCGGACATTGTTTGAAGGTGGTCTTTACTATGATTGTTTAGGTCCTCGGCTCTATACAAACGCCATCGAATGCTTAAGATGGGAGAGAGAAATGGATGAGAGAGAGGAGTGTGATTTAAGTGCTTAAGATGAGAGAGAAAGAGATAGAGGAGAGTGTGAGAGAAAGAGAGGTGTGGTGTTTTTAAGGCTAAATCTCTCTATCCATTCCTAAATAAAGAAAGCCCAAACGCCTCGAAAAGGTACACATGTACTCGTGTTGAGCTCTGGTTTTTTGGCCGCGCCTCTCTCTCTCTCAATCTTTCTTTCTCCCTCTAGCTCTCAGTTGGTGCGCGGTCATTCATTGATCGATTTGCGAGGCCAAATGCATAACCGCCATTGAAGAGAGGAACCTTCTTCGATTGGCTTCACGGTAATGATCCAAGAACCCTCTGAAAAGTTCTAGGGTTTCATTTGGCTCGAAACAGGTGGCGCGGCCATGGGTGGCTCCTTGCCCGCGTAGCCATGGCGCCCTCTTCCCGAGATTTCTCTATTTTCTCCCGCAACTACTCCTTGGAGCTCCTGGTTTTGCTTCTAACCCTTGTTCTTCTTCAATATTCAGCTCTGGTTTTTTTTGCGGTGGGATTTTGTCTGAAATCGATATTAGGGTTAACTTTCAGGTGCTTTTGGTACGAAGAATTGATTTTCTGACGACCTTCTATACCGGAATCATATGTTCTCATAATCGCAGGATTCAATCAGGTACTTAGCACATACACTCTCTCTCTTCTGTTTTTGTTTTTCTGCCTCACTTTCCCCTCACTAGCTCTCTCTCTCTGTCTCTAGTTTCTCCCTTATGCCTTCTATCTTCCTTCCCTTGCAGTTTCTCTCTCCTTTCTAATTTGTTTAGTCTCTCTAATTTTTCTCTCTGCAAGTTTCTTTCTTCTCTCCAATCTCTCATCTTCATTCTGTAAATATATATATCTCTTTTCTCTCTCTAGTTTCGCTCTCTACTGTGACATGTCTGTGTTATCTTTGTCTCTCACGTCTCTCTTTCTCTATTTTCTTCTCTCCGATTTCGTCTCTAAATTGAAGGAGATGAATCATTGTGTTCCCGACTGGGACATGGAGGACGACCCCCTTCCGTCCTCATCAGATTTCCAGCCCTCTTCAGGCCACCTCAAGAAGCCCTCTGCGTGAGTATATGTCAACTTTTCTGGCCAAAATCTCTCTCCCTATTGCAAGAAATGTTCAACTCAAATTCTTTCTTCAATGGTTTTCTCAGACCTTCTGAGGACGAGTTAGTTGAGCTGGTATGGCAAGACGGCCAGGTCATGATGCAGAAGACCTCTCGGCGGGCCCCACCAATGGCTGGAAAACCGGAAACAATTGTGAGAAGAGCGGAAGCCATTGCTGGAAACTCTGGTTTTCCAGCGGAGCCATTGCTGGAAAACCCGCTATTCATCCAAGAGGACGAGATGGCAGCTTGGCTCCATTGCTCACCATTGGATGACTTTTGCTCTGAGCTTTTCACAGGTAATGTCCCTCAAGAAAAGACCAAGGACCATCATGGTTCTTCACATGCGGAGAACTCAGGCTTTGGGGAGGGCAAAAGGGTCACACAATTCTCGCAGTTTTTGCGGCGGGATGCGGTGACAGGGGCTGTGGGATCGGTGTGTGGGGGGGAATCCACAGTGGTCGATTCAAATGATACAGTGACTGCAGCAGCAGCAACGGCACCGGTGATAGGGTCAGGGAAGTGGTCCCAGCTGCAAGTAGGCAGCAGCTGCCTAGAGATGCAGGCGGCATGCGAGGCCACATCTTCGGGGGGTTCAGGGGCAGCTGGCGGCGGTAGTGAGTGTAGGAAGAGGAAGGGGCGTGAAGGTGACGAGGCTGAGTGCCAGAGCGAGGTTTGAGTTTTTCTGTTTTTCTTCTTTTATTTTTATTCCTTTTTTGCTTTTGTTTCCCTAAGCGTTTGTGTTTGTGTTTGTGTGTGTGTCAAGGGTGATGGATTATTATTTTTTTTTTTTGAAGAAGGTTAACAAGGATGATGGATTATTGATTAGAAGTTTTAGATATTACAGGGGGTTTCATGTTTTTTTAGAGAGTTGTTTGTTAATATGCAGGGATTTTGGTTTATTTGATATTTTTTATTTTTTCTTTTTATTAATATTAACTGTTTATTTGTTCTATTTTTGCGTATTGGATTTGAAATTTGGGTGATTAGTTTCTTGGAAAAATTAGAAATTGAATTCTTAATATGTGATTCTTCTTACTGGAATTCTGTTAGGAGCTGATTGGAAAATATGGGTCTTCTTTTCACTTTTCTTGTATTTGCATGTTGTGATAGAAAACTGAGGTGTATCAATTGCCGGTTGAAATCTATGTTGGAAACCATTGCTTAATTTATTTGGTTTAGTCTTTGGCATGGTGAGTTTGTGCTTGCATCAGTTGACACTTGGACTCAATTTTGGAGGAAAAAATGATGTGTCTTGGCATAAAATGGGATTTGTATTTGGCCTTTTCAGTTCATGTGGGGAACATGTTTAATTTGTTAATTTCGGAACTCAGTGTCGGCATAGATATGAGATGATGGAAGTGCTTTAATGAATAGTTCAACCCACCCCCCCTCCTCTCTCTCTATCCATCTATCTATCTATCAATCTATAAATCTCCCCCCACCACCCTCCTCCTCCTCTCCCCTTCACCCCTTTCTCTTTCCATCCACTTTTAAGTTCAGCTTTATGTGTAGGATGTTGAGTCGTTTGATGGGAAGAAGGCTTCACAACGATCTGCAACAGCTCGAAGAACTCGTGCCGCAGAGGTTCATAATCTCTCGGAAAGGGTATTATTCATCTACCTCTTCCCCATCCTCCCCCTTTCTTTATCCGATTTCCCTGGAATTTTCAGGATTTTGGAACCTATAAATTTACTTCTCCCGACAACATTTAATGTTCGGTTCCTTGTGCTTGTATTACGTGCACCTCTTGTTTATTTTACAGAGGAGGCGGGACAGGATCAATGAGCGGATGAGAGCCCTGCAGGAGCTCATACCTCATTGTAACAAGGTACGATGATTATATTCACTCTTTCTTTTTTTTTTCTTTTTTTTTCCATCTGAAAATTGAATGGCCCTATTTAGTTAAGGTCATCTGGATCAAGTGGTAGAAAGTACAACATGCTAGGTAGGGAATTTGTGGTGGACAAATGCAACATGTTTCTAATTTGAGAATTTCTGATTCTTCAGTCGGATAAAGCCTCAATGCTTGATGAGGCAATCGAGTACCTGAAGACACTTCAGTTACAAGTGCAGGTTTTGTTTCTTGTTGCCTATTACTATGGATCATTATTTCAAAACATGGTTGGATTTCTTTTCCTTTTCCTTTTGGAATCTTCTACGAGCTTTTCCTAAAGCCACAATAGACTGGATAATTTGGTGGTACCTAAGAGTAACATGGGGCTATAAGATTTTATACCACTTGAGATACTTTAGCTTTCATATATATTTTGTACTCTTCCTTATCCAAGAAAGAGAAAATTCTGATGTTGTCTATAACTGTCATTGCTTGAGAAAGATATTTTTACATAAATTTAATTGTCTACACTCTATCTTCCCACCATTGACATTCTTTCAAGGTCACGAACTTCCTGTGTTCTCAGTGGAAGCCTCTGCCTCTGCCTCTCCCCCCCCGCCCCCCAAACACCCCACCACACACACACAAAATCCTCGTGTATGTGTGCACTCTCACACATATGCTTGTCCTTTATAACTTGTCCTTTATAGTATGTGCTGCTAATGCTTATAAATCTCTATGCCGTTGCCCTCGTCTTTGCTTGCTTTTTATTTTTTATATTTGACATCATGACTTTATGACTTTCATGAACCCCACTTGTAATGTCATCTTCTGACATATCAGACATGGGCACATGTTATTGAAGAATTATAAGTGCATGAATGACAGAATTTCATTGGACATGAATCATGTGCAGATGATGTCTATGGGCTGTGCAATGCCACCTATGATGCTCCCTGGAATCCAACAATATGTGACACCTATGGGTATGGGGATGGGGGTGGGTATGGGCATGGGGATGGGTATGGAGATGGCAGCCGCTGGTTTGAGCCGACCTCTTATGCCATTCTCTCCCATGCATACACATCCACATGCGCCCATCCTTCCAGTCATGCATGGACATGGTGCATCAGGGCATTCAAGTTCGAGGCTTCCTCTACCTCCGCTACGTGTGTCTGCTACCCAAGTTGCTGATACACCTTCTCATCAAGCAAGCAACCTGCCAATCCCACATCCCCAAGAGGTCGGTCCTAGCCATGTTGGTCAACAGAACCAAACGCCCCATAACTCCAATTTTCTTGATGCTCCTTATCCTTACTACATGGGCTTTCATCCTATGCAAATGCCTCCTCAGGTTGGTATGTCCATGTTTGCTTTCAAGCATGTTAGTCAATCCCATGTTTTGTATTTTTGAAAATACCATGTGGTTTACGCATCCAAAAATAGAAAAATCTTTCATGATCCTCCTAGAGTAGTAGTTTCAGACCCCCTCTAGGCTGACACCTTATTCACTTCTTGTAAATTTTCTATCTTTCTTTTTTTTTTTTAATTAATAAGAATAAGTTTGTGGGGTACATACTCAACAAAAAAAGATAAAAAGAGAATAAGTTTGTAGAGTATTAGAACTAAGTGGTGAGAAAACTCGTTCTGTTTTTTTCTTTTGAAAATCTTTTCTCAAGTATTTGGGTTTCCTACTTTCTTTTTTTTTTCCTGACAAATTCTCTAAGATTCCTAAGACAAAGCTAATATCTCGAGAAAGTACTTTGTCAGATTTGTCAATGTTAGTGTGTTTTATCAAATTTTAGCTCCCTTTTGGTTGTTTGTTTGTTTTGTTTTAATTTCTTTATGTTGATGAAGACATTGATGGCAATTGTCTTATTGATGACTCAGGCAATGAACATACTACCTTATAGTAGTAACACCCATATCATGCAGCAAAACCAGCCACCTTCCCAGTCAAACCCCAGCGCAATAGCTGAGACGTCTAACAATGCCAAATCAGGTATTTAATTCAACTTCTATACATTAATTATGCATTTAATTCAACTTCTAGCTATTCATTCAACTTATTTATGTAGGGGTTGGATCCATTGAAATTTGAATTTTTTTTACAATTGTTCCAGAATTTTTTGTTTGAAATTGAAAGAATACCCTAATCATTTGAGTTAGATTCCAAGAGTTGGCTCTTCTTTTCTCTTCTTCAAACCTGAAAATTAAATTTCAGAATTTAGTGTAATTTCTCCCTTTTTTTTTGCAAAAACTAGATATATATTAATAATTGAGAAGAAAAAACTAGTTACTCATCTTTATGAGTGAATTTTATCATTGAAAAGTAAAGCTTAGTGGCCAGCTTTAGATGTGGGCTACTGGCCTCATTATGATATCGAGGATGGCCAAATTTGAGTTTTATATTTAATGGTAAAACACTGTTGTCAAACTCTTATGAATTATACTATTCTTAAATTTCAGATACCGTACCGACTTTCGTAATATTTTATTCCTAAAGAATAATAGCACTTGTGCATCTTCTTCCCTATTATAAATCTGCCGTAACACTTGAACGGGCATCATGTGATCTGTACTTGTTCTAAGCATAAAGGCGATGATAACTGTGAGATACCTTTGGATTACTGTTACAATATGACTCTTATATACCTTTTGATTAGTAGTACAGTATCACTATTGTGATTATCATTATTATCATTGTTGTTGTTATTGTTGTTGTTATTAGTATTTCCAACGTACAAGTTGGGGAGTAAGGCTGAGAATAGTAGTAGCAGACCAGTAGTAACGATTGAGCTTGGTCGAAAAGCCTGCAACTAAGGATGCAGCACTAAGAGCTCCAAACCATTAGGGTATGTGGGGCTTTGCCCCTGAATTATAAATGTCAATAGCCAGAGAGTTAAGTGGATGTTTGGATGCAAATGCAGCTTGAATGGTGGGTCACTGAATGGTTGGTCGAAAAGCCTGCAACTAAGGATGCAGCGCTAAGAGCTCCAAACCATTAGGGTATGTGGGGCTTTGCCCCAGAATTTCAAATGTCAATAGCCAGAGAGTTAAGTGGATGTTTGGATGCAAATGCAGCTTGAATGGTGGGTCACTGATGCACTACACCATTTATCTGCATGCTGTGGTGTAGCGTGGTATACACCTGTGTGAAATGTGACAAAATTGATGCCTACTCAAAAGGCATAATATAATTTACACCGTGATCCATATTACTGAAGGAAATATATGGTCATTAGTTTCTATCACCTTCCAAGCAATGGATGGTGGAGGTGATGAATAGGAAGTGGGACATACCTATCACTCGGGTCATACTGTGTTCCTGCTGTGTCCGCTCTCCATCACTTGATTGGATGCTTACGACACGTGATCTTTACTTTTCTACAATCCTATGGGCCACGCTATACTGTCCCTCTTGTTCTTGAATGATCAGTTTGTAGTAGGTTTCCTGCCTTAATTTACCACTTTCTTCTTTTTTATTCTCTTTTCTGTGGTTGCTTCATCTTTTCTGAATCAAAGGTGGGTCTGCATATTATTCTTCTCTTGATGATGCATGTTATTGCAGGTTGAAGCTGGTGGGTTCGCTTGGGAAAAGCAGCCCCCTGCTAATTTTGTAGAGAGAGAGACACAATTTTCCCCTCTTGTATTGAGCCACCGTATAGCGACACTTCGGCAGCTTGTAATTATTACAATTTCTTCCCTTTTTAAAATTATTAGGTTCTTGTTTTGAGTGGATATTTCGCCTTCTCTAACCAAAGAAGAAAGAAAGAGGGAAAGAAAATAAAAGGTAAAGGTATGAATTATTTATTTATTTATTTTTACAAGAGTGAAAATTGTGGGGACTACTTGGGGCATGTGGTTTTGGGGGGAGATGTTGAAATAGCGGGTGTGAATCTTGTAAATGTGGTGGTGGATGTGGGGAGAGCCGTTGGCTCCTACCTTTTGTAGGGTGCAAGCATATATCTGTATAGGTAGTGATATGAATAGGAAGCAAGGTGGGGTCTGTCTCTTCTTCTATCTAAAGGCTCTTTAACCGGAGGTGAACTCGTATTGTATATTATGAGACAATTTATTTTTGGTATAAAGAGGTCACAATCATTTTTAGTCATTAGATGTGAAGATGACAGTGTATTACGACATTTGAGAAATTTAATTTTTGAATTTGTACCTAAATAACAATACATCTTCAACTATTTGATTCCAAATTTAATGGGTAATGGTAATTGTGACTTTTTTGTATCAAAAGTAAATAGTTTTGTTGTATGTGTTTTCATATCTAGTTTTGACTTTTGCTGGTTCTACTCTGTTTTTATTTTTAATGTTCTCACTGACACACACACTCTCCTTCTCATTTATGGTTATTCCAACCATGCAATCATATCATCTCTCTTTGTTGAGCCATCTTATGCTAAGCAGTTTGAAGGATTACGAGTCTTATTATCTTTAGGGTTGGGGTCTCTCTCTAAACTGTGGGTCTTTAAAGATAGGGTAGTATTTACCCACCTCTCTTTAATGCTTGGGATCATCTTATCTCTACAGGGTTTCAGATGGGTCTAGGTCCCCCACATATATATATTTTTATGTATGCATGTGGAAAGCTTATTGGTAGCCATATAATTGGAAAGTTCATGTTCCCCTGTGGGCCGCCCCCTCCCTTCCCATGCAGGTTTGCGACAGACACCGTGCTTCCTCCGGGCCATCCTATCATTACCTCTCTTTATTGTCACACACACTCTCTCACTAACGCGGCGATAGCGTAAGCACGAGAGAGGGTTGATGGTGGGTGGATTCCGACGTGCTCTCTCTCTCTCTCTATAATGCAAAAGATAGGGGGGCATGAGATCCGCTCCCACTATGATTGATGTCCATCCCCGCCCCAACTTGCACAACAGGAGAGATGCTCTTGCCCAACTTTTGGGTCCCCAACTCTCTTTTTACCATTTAACTTTTGTGATATTGGCCCACAATGAATCCCCTATGTCATTTCTGCACATTACATCTGATCGATGCCCATACTTGATTTGTTAAAAACCCTAACCATGAGACCACAAAAGGAAAGTATTCTTTTTTCTTTATCCTTTTTGTTTTGTTTTCAGTGAGTAGTGCTACATGAAAGATTAATGCTAAAAAACCCCTCAATATAGGGGGCATGGAAAGTGAATGGTGGAGAACTTTTGGTGAATTCCATGGGGCATAGGATAATAACAAATTGTGTCAGTTAATGGTTTTATCTTCTCACTTTAATTTGTAACAAATTGTAAGTTAACAGTTATCTTCTCTCTTTAAATTTGTATGAGTGTTAGTATAAGGAAATAGACAATATTCTATTGTGGATCTTCAGTTCTTTTTTAATTTAAAGTCTCTTAAGATCTTATTCCCAATATGCCACAATTTGGAAGAGTATTAACAATTTAATTAGGGTCGTGGGTATTGAATCGGATCGAAAGTTGGTGAACCGCGAATATCATACGAAAGGCAGAGAGAGAGAGAGAGAGAGAGAGAGAGCTGTTTATAATTTTTCCATTTTAAGTGGCCAATTTATGTAGGGCTTGTTTGAGAGACCCCAAAGGTCAACACTAGTAAACTTCTTGCACTGTTGCTATGATGCGTTAAGTTCAAGAATTTAGTTGATGATGCACACATGTAAGGTTTCGATGAAGTCTAGTCTTTTGAGTGAGATGATTAAAAATAGCTTGCAGGTCATCATATATTACAGCCTGAACTATGCAATCGTGGGAAAGAACATAGAAATCAAACAGAGAGTTCCTTTTTTTTTCTTTCAATCTGTTGTGCCGATTCCATCAAGCTGTTACTTGGGAGTAATAGGGTGTTACTTGGAGTAAAGGGAAGACAACTGTGTTATCTCAATTATTGATATATATTGCGGACATTGTCTCATTCCCATGTGTAAAGTATCTTATTGAAATGAGAGAATACTGCCCCTATTTCATCAATTAAAACAAGGGAAAGGTTTTTATACTTCCCGTACAGCATAGAAGAACTATCTTCCTACCATCTAGCTGTCCAATTTTGATCAAGAGAGCCACTCACCGTTTGATCTTATATTTAACGTATTAAATTAATTTATTTTTAATTTTTTTTTTTACAAATTGTATGAATATGAACTTTGGTACGTGCTATCTTCTCATTGGGGTGCACCTATAAAAAATATCAAAAATAAATTTTCGATAAAATATAATGACCAAAATACCCCTTGTGAATTTCAGGGGTATTTTGGTCATTTTATTTTATTGGAAATATTTTTTTTATATTTTTGGCTAGTGCGAGTTTAACAGAGGATTGGACGTCAAAAATTTGGTGTCAAAATAGTTTATTGAAAAGAATTTAAAATAAAATACTGTAAAGACGTGATATTGTGATTGGGGCAATCTTAACCCCCCATTCAGAATAGACGGTTAGATAAGGTGAAGTATATAAGTTTTATGCTGTAGAGGAGGCGTAGAATTCCATGAAATTTTTAATGTCGAGATGATCAATTGATCATCTCGTGAACCCTCTGATGAGAGAATTCCATGAAAAGATAGTCTTTTGGTATAGGGTTTTGAAGAGAAATTGAGCTGTTTCAATGGAGTTGTGAGAGGAGTAGGAGGAGATGAGAGCGGTGCAGAAGAAGGGGTCTTGTTGGTGGCCAGTGGTTATGAGGTGAGAGTGGAGTTGTTTGAGGGTGGAGAGAGAAGATGGAGATGGGAAGTGCGAGGTGAGACAAGTTGTTGGGTGGGGCGGCCTGTTGGTATCCAGTGTTGTAGGCTAAGCGTTTGCAATCTGGGCACAAACCCATATGAGCGAGAGAAGCTCTTCTCCGGAAAGTTAGGCCATTACCCAGCGTGCCCCACCGTACCCATCAACCGGGGGTTTTGTATGGGTGGGGGCAATGGTTTAAAAAACGGATCGGTGACCCGGATCGGGCTTCCAAAAAACCGATCCAGATCGGCGAATCGGTGATCCAGGATC